ATATTCCCGGCATATGGTAATAATTTAGTACGTAATTTTGGGCTAAATAAACAGATTCCAGAAGTGAGTTACATAGAAAATATAGCTAAAGAAAGCCCCAGGGTTGTGTAGTTCAGGCTAGCCTTGAACTTTTGGTGATCCTCCTGTGTCAGCCTCCCAGAGGCTAGTATTACAGGCCTGCACCACCACCTCCAGCTTTGTTCTGTGTTTTAGTCCTTGCTGAGGCAGTTGAGTCTAGACCCACAGGACAGAATGCAATGTTTTTCTCTAAGAAATCATTTTTTGTTGGGGCTTTCATTAGCTGTGTCCTCTCCAGATCTTTTGGCCAATAGACCTATTTCAGTCAATAGGCCAAATCATGCTGGTGACCCCAGACTGAGGTCCTAGATACGTTCCTCATCATTCCTACAAAGGATTGCACAAACTCACCAGCTGGAGCATGCCACCAGCTGGCCAGCTCATTGTACATCTAAATTGAACAATCAATGTCGGCTCTGCAAGCTCCAGGGTGAAAGACCCACCAGACAGCATATAAAGGTACTGAGTTGTGGAACCCCAGTTTTGTGTACCAGGCACCACCTCAATCCCAGGTACTTTGGCCAAAATACTTCCTAAGAACCTATGACCCTGAGCCTGTTTGAAGAAGGATGGGAAGTCAACATCTCATGAGACCCATAGGACTACTTGCAGGATTGTGAATCTCACTTTGCAGGCGAGAAATCCACAGCGAGACAGGGTTAGGCTGTCTGCATGTGAAACAAAGTTCAGCTCTTGTTTCCTGAATCACTGTGCCATGCTCAGGCCTCAGACTTACGCAGGACATTTCAGCCTTATTAACCTTCATCAAGTTCTTCTCGGGATAAATTCTCCTCCCTCGAAAATCAGGATATCATCCCACTTCTAGATTTAGCATGTAGTCAGTGTCATCAAACAAAAATGAAAGAAGAGCATGAAAATTTATCGAGCTCCCATTATGTTACACCATTTCAAGCACTTTGCACATATTATCTGGTGTAATCATACACTATAGGAAGGTGCTGTGGTTATTTCCCTTTCTGTACAAGGAAACTGAAGTTCAGATCGAGAGGGCATGCAACTTGTCCAAGGACACATTTCTAGCAAATGTCAGAGTTGGATTCAAATCCACATCCCTTCAAGGCTAAAAGCTGTATAAGTCACCACAAGGTACAGTTTAGAGCAGTCAGCGTGTTTCCAAAAGAAGGAGGAGGCAAAGGAGGAGGAAGAGGAGGAGAAGGAGAGAGAGGAAGAGGAGGAGAAGAGGAAGAAGTTACATGCAGAGCATAATTCACAGTGACTTCTTGCCTTGCAGGGAACCAGACGTGCTCACCCAGCCCATTTGCCTGCTTCTCTTCAGGGACCAGCAAAGACCAACATCACAGGTTCAGAGGGAAAATACCATGCTGGAAAAAGTCCCCACTGCCTGAACTGCCTGCCCGTGGGAACTAGGTACTTGAGAAAGTTCTGAACAAAGCACTGAAATTTCTGAGAGTGGCTGTGCCCTTCCACAGATTGTCATCCTAACATGGTCTTCAGGAAGATGTTCAGACAGGTTGCTCGTTCCCAGTAATTCATTCAGAAAATATTAGCCAGAGGTCTAAACAATTGGCACCTGGATCATTTCAGAACAGCTCCCAGTCTGGGCCAGCACAAATGCTCAGACTTGGAGAGTTTCTGTTAAGGTTGGTATCAGGAGAGCACACAGGCTGGGGACTGATACAGAACAGGGTCGTTAAGACCTGGCTTGGGTATAGCCCTAAGCCGGGGCATCAGAGACAAATTAATTTGCAGAGTCATCTAAGATCATGTCCCTCTCTATGAGGGAATCTGAGGCTCAGAGAGGGACTCTGTAATGCCTGAGGTCACAGTAGCTGATCTGGGATTTAAACTCAAGTCTTGGGGCTACTTTCACAATTGCAGGACTTCCAGGCTACCCATTTGGCTATCTCTGAGACTGACTTAGGAATTACAGAATGAGAACTGATTCACAAGGAATAGCTGGGAGGGTTCAGATCAAGCCAGCTAAACATCACTGCAGGGGTGATCGGTAAGTTAGAATAGGAGCTGCTGCATACTCTGAGATTGGGGGCTGCCCTGCTCCCCCATGCTAATTTCAGACATGCTAACCAGAAATAGCAATTCATCAGTATAGCATCCTTATGCTTTAGCCTAGCATTCAAATCCAATGCAGCGCAGCCTCAACTTACCTCTCCACCCTTATCTTTCTTGTCTTGCCCTTCAGGCAACCTGAACTCCCACTCTGAGATGACAATTCATGCATTCCAGGCCCCAAAGCACTGCCTGAGTACTGCCTCCCCTCCCAAGGCTGCCCGTGCCCTTCCAGTCCTGAGCAGCTGAACTCCAATCACAGCCAACCTCCCCTCAGTGTTTCCTAAGCCCCCGCAAACCTTCACAGCACTTACTACCTCTCCCCTCCTACTAGCATCCTAATGATGCTAATGAAGACAATAACCAGATTTCCTAAGCCATACTCCATGCCAGGCTCTGTATGGGCATGAACACATTTGGTCCTCAACCATGATCTGAACTGAGCCCCGTTATTTCCATGTGACAAATGAGGAAACTGAGGCTTAAGGAGTTGCTCAGAGGCACACAGCAAGAAAGTGGAACACAGAATTCCACAGCCAAGACTTCTGACATCTAGGGTGCCAGGTACCCTACACACATGCTGCTTCACTTTACTAATTCCCATTGTATTTCTAGTGTTCTTTCTGAATACAGCAGTAAAACCACTCCATGAATCTAGTTAGACAATAGAAAAGTTTATTAACACCTTCTACCAAATTCCTAGGTACTCCTAACTTAGGAATTAGAAATACAGGGATGAAAAAGATAGAGTCTCTGCCTTCAATGTAACCCAGCCTGTTTGGGAGACATGCACAAAAAGACAAATTACTGAACAACTGAGGATGAGCCACCACAAAACCAGCAAGCCTAGGAGAGGAAGTGATCAGTCAGCCTTCCCTTAAAACTGGAACTTCTGACAAATTTGCTCCATTTTGTCCCCTAAGCACCAGTCTCTCCCATGCACAGCAAGTGTTCTACAGCTCTAGTGGTGATGGCCACATGAACACAGTGTCCGTGAAAGCCCTAGAATATCTATCTAGTTCATGTGTCAAATTGGCCATCTGGGGTGCTTTTAGTTTCAACAAACAGATAGAACAATGGGAAGGACTTGTCCCAGCATGACAATGAGGACCTTTGGTGATTAAAGCTCCTGGCAGGCAGAAGTGTTGGTTCATACATCTAGGTGACCCCTACAGAGCTGAGCGTTATGCTTCACACTGAGTGGACCTAGATAAATATTGCTGATTAATGATAGTGACTTCAGCTGACTAGGGCCAGGCAGTCTCAGACGGTCACTGAGGACATGGGAGTGGCGTGTCCTAAGGTTTCTCAATCTGTCATTCATTCATCATCTTCCTGCCTACTAAAAATATAGCGAACATGTGTTTTCTCCTGCTTTGAGCCCCCAAAACCAGATTGCACAAATCTCCCCAAAAACCTCTGAGAAGCTATGGCCCTCAAATGTGGAAAATTTCCCCTCTTGGTGCTATTTCCCTTTCCTCACGTTTCTGCCTATCCTTGACCGTCCTAGGGCCAGACACAAGTGCTGAGCTCCCAGAATATCAAGGGCCCCCAGGGATCAAATCATGGCCCCAACTTCTCCTGAAGTTCAGGTGTGCTGTCCCAGATGCCTTGTCTGACAGTTGCAGACTTATCTCAGGAGATGGCAGAGGAGACCATAGATATAAACTCTCATCTGCCAACTCCAACCTAGTGCTTGCTCCCTCAGAAGGAGAACCATATACTTCCACATACAGCATCCTTTGCTCAGAGCCACCTGCTCTGTCCACCCCCTTTGTCTATTCCAAAGTAAGTGTCCGGAGTATGTCTGAAAGCAAGAGCCCTGTGGGCCAAGGTCAAGAGTTTCCCCTGTCCTCATCTCTAAACTCTCACCCTCCCTACCACTGACCTCGCTCAAGTCCTGAGCCATCACCACCATCAGGCAGGGTGCCCCAGTGAACAGAGAGGTTTCCAGAACTGGCTCAGTTTCTTCCTCTGGAAGGTCTTTCATGGGGCTCTCTGCAGGGGTATCCTTACTTTATCATAGAAAAAGTGGCAAAACTAGGATGATCTGGGCATTTCAGGGGCAGATAACCCTGACTTTTGAGCTGCTTACCTGGGGATCTGCCTTATCCTGACCTTGGGGCTCAGGTGACCTGGAGGCTATTATTCCAGTTTAGGTGGATAATCTGACCACCCGAGGAAGGCCAGGAGACTGTTCCACTGTATCCTCCAGACCCTCTGTCACTTCACCCTGCCATGTGGCCAGAGGCTTCACCTAATCACCCAAGTCTTCTGCCCCAAGGAGCAGGCCAGCTCTTGGCATCTACTGACCCATCCCTGCCTACACTGTGTATGCTGATTCCTGAGCCAAAACTGCTGCCCTTTGGAGAGTGGCATTCTCTCCAACACTGGCCTCTCTTAGTGTGTGTCTGTCCCAAAGGCTTCTCTAGCTAATTTCAGGGAGCCCAAGTGCTTGATCATCTCCTGGCTCGGGGTCCCTGCTCCTGGACTCAGAATGCTGGATTTAGGGTCACTTTGCCTCTGTTTGTCACATCCTCTACAGTGCTGGTGCCCCTTCAAGAGCTCTCCATAGCTCCACCTCCACTGCCGGGGACCATCAAAGATCAGAGTTCCTCAACCAAAGAGGTGCCCCAGAGTCTATCCTTCCACCCATGCACCTATCCCTGTCCAAGGTCCTGTCTCAATTTCTCGCTTCACCAAGAACTCCAACCTTTCTTTCTCTATGAGGCCTGTTTGATTCCTTCCGGAGCTCCAGTCTTGCCCCCTTGCCTCCTTCTTGTTCTCCCATGTGTCCTTGCTTCCCTTCCAGCCCAGCGTTATACGACAGGTGGCTTCCCAAGTCCAAAGCCTCATCCTGACCCCACACTCACCGCCACCGTTCTTGTAACAGAGGTAGGGGAAGCGCCACACGTTGGCCAGGTCCACCGCGAAGCCGACCACCGACAGCAGGAAGTCGATCTTCTTGCCCCAGGTCTCTCGAGGCTGCGCGTCCAGGTCCCGGGGAGCTAGGAGGCACTGGACGCCGTTGTGCTCCTTCACTACCAGCAGCTCCGCAGTTTTGCATCCCCGAGAGGGTTGCGAGGAGTCCGGGTCCGCCCCGCTGTTCTCGGGTTGCACCTGCGGGTTCATCCGCGCCAGAAGAATGGGTGCGGCCGGCGAAAGGGACTTCATGTGTACTGCGGGGTCACGTCGAAGCTCTGCTTGTAGAAAAGGAAGAGGTTGTCACCAAGGGCTCCTGCCTGCCTGCGCCAACTTTGACCACCCAGGAGCACTAGGGGCATTGGAGTCCGTGTGCGCTGAGCAGACCCAGAGTTACCAGAAAGGGGGCGCGTCTGTCGGAAAAATGTAGAAAGGTTGTGACGCGACAGACTGGGGCAGAACTCGGAATGGAGACGCCCCTGAGCGCCTTGTGGGTCTGGCTGAAGACCCCGCGGCGCTCGCTACAGTTCACCAGCGCTCTGCAGCCCCTAAACGTCTGGGTCTGGGCTCCCGGAGCTGAAGTTTTCCAGGACAGTGAGAGGACCCAATAAAGCCCGAGTGCCGCCAGGGGCCCCAGCGCGGGTGTGCGCCCTCCGACAGCCAGGCACTCACAAGTCTACACTTCAGCTTACAGGCACTCACTCCTCTTGAGGTTCGGCCGGGTCCTCCCCGCCCACCTAGCTGGGTCCCGCGACACTGACACTCACGTGTCCTGCAGCTGGGGGATCCGGGTGCAGGACGCTGGCGGTGGGATGTGACCGGGCTGGGCTCAGCCGCGTGGCACTGGGGCACTGTTGGAGGAGCGTCGGAGGCGCTGGGCAGCTGGCCGACCGGACGGACGCGGGCTGGCTCTTCTGGCCGCACCGGGTGGGAGCCGGGCTGGTAATGTAGCCTGTGCCCCAGGTAACGCGCCGATTGCATTAACCCAGCTCCCAGCCCGCTCGGTCTGGAGCCTGTTAGCGCTAATGGAGACTGACAGCGCAGCCGGGGATGGGCAGGGGCGGGGGCGCGGCGCGGGCTCCCGGGCGGCTGGGCCAGGCTCCCAGGGACTCCGGGGACCCGGGGGGCCCGGGTGCTTACTTTTTCTATCTCTCCTCGAGTAGCACCCACAGCTCCTAAAGTCACCAGGCTCTGACTTCTGACCAAAGGAAGAGAGCCACAGATTCTCGAAACTAGGATCCGAGTCCCATCAGAAAGAGACTGCAAAAGGGACTACAGAAGCAGCGACCCAGGAGCACCAGAGCTGTCATCTGCTGCCATCAGGCTACTTAAGCTACCTAATCAGAGTCTGTGAACAAAATGGGAATGTTCTGCTGGGTGCCCAGGACTGTGAACTGGTGCCCCTCCCCAAGCCACTGGGCAGTTATTGTCTGTTTTGTTTTGTTTTTCTGGTTCGAGATGCTGAAAGGTCACAGCCCAGTATTTCCTTCCCGGGTCTCTGTTTCCAGCGGCTAATAGAACTTTTGAGATTGTGACCCTGTCCTATGAGGCTGAGAATTGATCGTTCACTTGTTTCTTCACTCATTTGTTTTCACATCCACCTCATACGTGGAGGACTGGGGTCTAGAGTCCCATGAGTGGACAAAACCTCAGATATTCCCGACAACATCATTTTCACTCAGCTAGGGAAGATGGGGAAAACAGGAAACATAAAATACACACTATATGATAGATGAGGAAGTAATCTCTGCCATGAGAAAGTAAAGCATGGCAAGGGATGAGGGGGTGGGGTTTCAGTTTGAATAAGGGGTGAAAGAATTTGAAATGGTAACATTTCCATACATAAAAGCCTGAGTCACTTGGACCTGGTGGTTGTTAGCTGGCTGGTTGCCTTATCCACTAATTAATTTACCCATCCATTAGGGAGAGTCTGATCACTGCTGTGTGCTGGTATAGAGCCACCAGTGAAGCTAGGGAGGTGGTGCCTGCCACCCAGGAGCAGCCAGTCCAGGGTATAGAGCTGCACAAATCATCATAGTCAGGACTGGTTGTGCCCATAGAAGCATGGTAGTGAGGTAGAGTTGAATCAGCAGGTAAGGCTGGAAGGGGTAACAGTTTGTAAAGGCTCAGCTACACTGATTTTTCCTGTTTTCAATACTCTGAGCTCAAACCCACTCCCAGGACGTTTACCTTTGTTGCTTCCTCTGCTTGAGAAGTTCGGATCTCAGTCCAGCAGTCCTTTCTCAACCTCTCTAATGTAATATACCCCACCACTCTATCACACACTCTATCTTATTTTCTTCATTGCATCCCTACCCAAATTTATTTGTTTGCTTTGCATCTCTCCTTCAGCGGCACGTGTGCTGTATGAGAGCAGAGACCTGTCTGTCCTACATGCCACTGTGTTCCTGGCACCTGGAACATAGCAGGGCATCAATTAGTGGTGAGATGAGTGAATGAGTGAGAAAGTGAGTGAACAAATGAGTGAATGAATCATGTGAGTGTTTGCACCACTTTCACCACTGGAACCAGCATGACAGAGGTCCTCTGGGTCAGATGCAGAAAGGAGAGGAAGGGAAACTTGGAGATCAGTGAGTCCATCCTGGCCTTCTGGGGACCGGCAATCAGAAATGGGAGGCCAGGGACCAGATGGAGCAGAGGTTGTAGGACAAGAACTGGAATCGTAGATTTCCATCTCTCAAGGGTATTTATCTCCTTTGGAATATAGACCATTGCAATAAGTCTGTGAGGAAAGAATCATCTTTCCATTTTGCAGTTCAGGACACTGTGGTTCTGTGGACTTGAGGGGTCTGTCTGAGGTCTCACAGTTTGAAAGTGGAAAATTTGAAATTATCCTTGCTCCAGGTCTCCTTGCTCTGAGTGTTTGTGCCCTTCACCGACTTATGGATGAAGACACTCAGAATCTCTCTAGGAGTCATGTTCCCCACTTTCTCTATACCTTGTGCCCTGTCCAGTGGTCATCACATTCCGGGAAACTCACTTTCTAAACCCCTGTGAAACTCCAGTATTCCCACTGCACCCATACAGAATGCCCCACCATTGTTCCCTGCAGCAGCCCCCTCATTGGTCATCCCACATCTAGTCCAGTATTTCCCCAGCCACCGAATCAACACCAGCTTTCAGACCTCTTTTTAAAATTCAGGTCTGGGGCTGGGGATTTAGCTCAGCGGCAAAAGTGCCTGCCTGGCAAGCGCAAGGTTGTGAGTTCGGTTCCTGGTACCGGAAAAAAAAAAAAAAAAAAAAAAAAAAAAAAAAAAAAATTCAGGTCTGCTCACCTGACTTCTCTGCCTGAAACTCCTCTGGGACACACCAACACATCACTGTAATTTAATTAGCCCTGGATTTGAGGTGGTTTTATTTTCTTCTTTATGTCTCTTTATATATGCCAACTTTCCTATAATGAGCATTTGATACTTACACAACCAAAAAAGATAACCTACAATTTTTTAAATCCTCTACTCTTTCCAAGACAATATCTAAACATCTTCAGCATAACAGACAAGAGTCTGCCTAGCAATTCAATTATATCTATTTATATTCTAATTCCCTTTTCATTTTCCCTAAACATTTTGCCACCTCCAAAATACGATTTATTTTTTAGCAACATAGGAGATACTAAACTGCTACTGGTTCCCTTATGCTTATACATTTTGCACACCACTGGATTTTTAAATATGCTCTTTCTATCTTTTTATCTACTTGGAAATCTCCCATTCATCTCTAAAACCTCTCACATGACTTCCACTGTGAACTCTTCCCTGATTACCACCTCTCAGGACAGTGACATCCTCAGTTATATGTATGATTTCCCTGCGAGGGACAGAACAGTGCCTGACATATCCCGTTACATGGAAGAAAACCTCAGAAAATATGTATGAAATAGAACTAGCAGAGATACTATTCTTTGGTTGAGTTTGCTGTCTATGCTTAGGATTGTTTTATATTTGATTTCTCCAGAAGCAGAAACTCAAAGAGAGATTTAAATGTGAGTAGTTTTTTTAGGAGGCAATCCCTGGGAGTGCTGGGAGAGAAGTGAGGGAGCAAGGCAGGAAAGGTAAGGAAGCTGGTGGGGGTTAATTAAGGAGCAGTTACTGCTGTGGGCATGTAGTTTGCATGCGGCTGTGCCCTCTGAGGCACACAGCAAAGCTCAGGTTGGCTCAGTCTAGGGTAAGGAGGCCAAGTCTTTAACCATTAAGTGTCAGCTGAGCAGCATCTGCAGCCTGCCTGACGGGGGTTGGGATGTTCCACCAAATAGGAGAAAGGCTTGCAGGTACGGACAGCAGGAAGCCTTTGGAGTGGGTCTGCGTGGGCAGGCAGTGAGTGAGGAGAGGGTGCGGGCAGCACCTTGGACACATTTGCAGAAGGGGCAAAGAGAGGCTTGTCTCCCCTCGACATACACACCATCAGAGAGCCAATCAGCAAGTCCTTGGAGTCCCCCTGTGACTTCAGAGACATCAAGGGGTCAGCAGTGAGAATACCAGGCTGGACTGAAAGCAAGGCGTCTCCTCCATGTCCGGCCCAGACTCCCGGCTCACAGCTCTGAGAGCCATAGGGCCATGTGGCTTCTCTCGGTGCCCTGTATCCTGCCCCTGCAGGTGCCCTGAGGGAAAATGGTGGGCAGGAGACTGGAGCATTATCAGAGTTAACATGGTCTCTGGGGAAGCGTCATTTCCACTTACCATGGCACTTGGTGACAGAGGCCATGAGATGCATGGTGAAGGCTGGTGCTGTTAGTCCAGCCCTGGCCACTTCCATGCAGACACCAGGGCCTTGAAACACAGGCTGGGCTGGGTCCTAAGGATACTATCAACCTTCTCCTCCTTTGCAGTGAGGAAACTAAGAAAGAGAGAGACAAATGTCTACCTGTCTCTTTGTCTCTGTCCCTGTCTCTCTGTCTCTGTTTCTCTGTCTCTGTCTTTCTGTCTCTGTCTCTGTCTTTGTCTCTCTGTCTGTCTGTCTCTCTCTGTCTCTATCTCTCTGTCTCTGTCTCTGTCTCTCTCTCTCTCTGTCTCATCTCTTTCTCTCTATTTCATTGCAGCTGATCTGCCCTGTGGTTATCGGTCATTGATCTAAATTGTGCTGCAGTTACAAATAGCATGAAAGTTCCCTCAATACAAGACCTCCATGACCTGAAATCAGTCTCCTTCAGGACACTTTCCTGTAAATTCCCTAGGGATCTTTGATGCTTTGATCCATACAGATGTGGCTCAATCTTTAGAGTCTTTCCTGTGAAGCTTCTAACTCAACTGATACCATTCAGGCATTGACACTTTAAAAAAGCTTCTATCCCTTGATAACTGTCTGATTTAAATCTTCTGCATAGACCTCCCTCCAGAATCCCATGGGCCTTTTTCTAGCTGCCGACTGGACATCTCTATATAGGTAATAGAAGGCATGTGAAGCTGGCCATGTCCAAAGCAGAAGCCCCCTTCCTGATTATACACAATCCTGCTCCTCCAAGCCCTCCCCCTCCAGACAATGACATTTTCTTCCTTCTGGTTCCTCAAACCCCTTGAACTTAGCCTTGATTCGTCTCTTATTTGCACATCCAATCCTGCAGCAAAGACTCTGTGAGCAATAAATCATATCATTTTTCCACACCTCTGCAGTGACTTCTCGGATTTAAATCATAGCACCTGCTGCTGGTATTTCGGAGATGCCTTCTCAGGGGTGGCTCCTCCCATTTCTCTCCTTTCCCTCCCAAGCCTGAGCTCTACACAGCTTCCAGAAAGATCTTTTAGAAACAAGTTCATATCCTATGACTCTTTCTCTGCAATTACTCCTTTGTCATTCAGAATAAAACCCCAAGTGCCCCATGTCTGATATAGGCAAACAAGTAAATGAATCTTTTTGCAGACTTGTCAACCCAACCCCAGCTGAGGCCTGTAGCCCCTGACAGAAACCAGATAAGGCAGGGACTGAGCTGCTAGGGGGAGAGAAAGAAAGGAGTGGCAGACGGTATAGCAGAGAAGGCACCAGGCTGGGACCCAACACATTGCAGGTTGACTTGGGATCTGCTATTTTCAGGCTCTATGGTAAATGGTCATGTCCCTCAGCAAGATGGGACGGACCATGAGAAGAAAAACAGATAGATGATATCTTAGAAGAGCCAAGGAAGGAGAACACAAAGGAGGTGTCCAGACGCTCAATCTCCAGGGAGGAAAGGAGGACCTTCTCTTACTCCCATAAGTCCCCAGATGCGCGTTTGTCTTTACAGGGGGCATAAAGGTTACAGGGACAGAGATCTCATACCTGGCTCATGTTCCTCTCCAAGGCAGAAAGGGATCGTAGGCAGCTGACAGGAATGGACCATGATCAGCCTGGCATGAGGTCTCTGTCCATCTGGAAATATCA